GGCTGAAGCAAGCACCAGGTGTGCATAGCAGGGCAGCTGGTGGGGAGGAAGGGTAGCAACAGGGACCCAGTCTGGGGAGGGAGAGAGGAAAGGGACCAGAGCACCAAGGGCCTGGGATGCCATGGACAGCACGGCAGACTTTATCCTAAAGGTGATGGGAAGTCACGCAGGTATTAATCAGTAGAGTGAAGAGAGCAGATGTTTAGAAAAGGTCTTTACAGAAGCAGCGTGGAGGCTGGAGTGGAGGGAGACGGGCAGAGCCGATACATTTGTACTGGAACCCAGGAATGACATAATAAGAGTTTGAATAAGGTGCTATTTCTTGTTTTGTATTAGACAGAAGTCGGTTTTAATCCCAATACCTCCTGGGATTAGCTGTGTGACCTAAGGCAAGTCACCTTACCTCTCCCCATATGCAAGATGGCTTTTTGGGGACTTAGCTAGAAAAGTTGTGAGGATTGAGTGTAAAGTGCTTGGTATGGTGCATAGAGCACAGTAAACATGAAAAAATGATGTCTCTGTTCTTGTTCTTATGCTGCCATCCTGATCTGGACAGTTCCCCTAAAAGAAGGCACTGAAGCAGGGACTTGGGTGCAGGAAATTTATGCAGGAGGTGATCCCAGGAAGCACAGGTGGCTGAGAAAAGTGAGGTAGGGAGAGAGGAATGCCAACAAGGGATGGAGGCAGATTCACTTGAGGCTCTCAGGGGAACTGTGGAGAACACAACTCCAAATTGTCCCTTCAGGGGCACCTGGGTGGCTCAGTCGGTTAAGAGTCTGCCTTCAGCTCAGGTCATAATCTTGGGGTCCTGGGATTGAACCCTGTATTGGGCTCCCTGCTCAGCGGGGAGTCTGCTTCTCTCTCACCCTACAATCTTCTGTTTTTTTTTTGTTGTTGTTTTGTTTTTTGTTTTTTTTAGAATATCTTAAAAAAATTTGTTTTTATTTATAATAGTCACACACAGAGAGAGGCAGAGACACAGGCAGAGGGAGAAGCAGGCTCCATGCACTGGGAGCCGGACGTGGGATTCGATTCCGGGTCTCCAGGATCGCGCCCTGAGCCAAAGGCAGGCGCCAAACCGCTGCGCCACCCAGGGATCCCTGTTTTTTGTTTTTTTAACACAACTGTTACTCTAAGAGACTGGAAAGCTGGGGGTGTTTAGCCACCAAACTCATCTCTAATTGGCTGAGGGTTGCCTCTACAGATCTTATATATCCTGTACTTCCAGGTAGCTCTGTGCACAGACCGAATAAGCTTCTGTGGCCCCACCGGTGTTGGGGGTCCCAAGCCTTCAGGAAGTCCCAAGCAGCAGAGACAGACATTTGCAGTAGAGGCTATCACAGTGTATCCCGAAGTGTCCTCTGAAGCTCAGGTGGATTCAGAGTGGGGACTTGGATAGAGCATCCTATCTGCTGCAGTGGAGTGAGGGAACAGTGAAGAAGGTATGTAGAAAACGGAATCGATAGATCTTGGTGAGTTGAGGAAACTAATAGGGTAGAGTCTTCAAATGACGTGTATTTTGGGTTTCATCTATAAACTGCAGTCCTATTTATTGAGTTTAAAACAATCGCCCCGGGGGTAGTCTGTGTGTGTGTGTGTGTGTGGGGGGGGTAATGGTGGCCGGGAAAGGAGGAGGAGGATGATTTTCATTTGGACACACTGAGCCCAAAGTGCCCACAATATAGCCGCATACCATAGTGGGTTGGCAAATGGAATTTCCCTAATTCACATTAAACTATGTGGGTTTCACTCTGACATGTTGACATGTCTTTTACAAGTTTTGTGGGAGCAAATCCTGTACTCTGATAATGAGTAAAGACTTTTTGCGGGCAGTCCGGGTGGCTCAGCAGTTTAGAGGTGCCTTCAGCCCAGGGCCCAATCCTGGGTCTCCAGGATCGAGTCCCATGTCGGGATCCCTGCATGGAGCCTGCTTCTCCCTCTGCCTGTGTCTCTGCCTCTCTCTCTCTCTCTCTGTCTCTCGTGAATAAATACTTTTTTTTTTTTTTAAAAAAGGACTTTTGCCCACCGGGGTGAAAAGGCACATTTAATCTGGTGGTTTAAGTGATAGGTTTAAAACAGCCTGGTGTCTCTTTCTACCTGCTGTTCACTTATTAGGTGACTTTGAACCTGTTGGTGAATTCCATTGCAGATTATTTTCCTCTAAAGAAAGAGAATAATAGATACTCTCTTGAGTTATTGCATAGCTGTTGAAAACTAGACAGCATTTTCAAAGCCCTTCTGAGTTGTTGGAAAGCACAGTGCCCCATCGAGCATTGTATTACCTTGCTTCAGTTTGCTCTTAAAACTTACAGCATTCCAATTATCCTGTTGTTACTGAATTCGATACTAAAGCAAATATGCTTGTTTTCGAAAATGGAATTTTTAGATGATAAAACCTTATATGTGCCAAGTGAGATAAGCCAGATAGTTAGCTAATTATGGCATGGAACTCATCCTGATTATATATATATTTTTTCTCTCCACGTGCATATATATTTGTATTGAAGATATGCATCCTGTTTTCACTCTATTTCAGAATGCATTTTTCAATAGATGTTGAAACCACTTACATTTTAATTTTCTGAAGTGGTTTCTTTGATGGATATTTTATTATAGGAAGTGTAGGACATTCAAGTCAATGGGGCTGGATACAAAAATATGAAATAGGTAAAGTCTGGCTTAAGCTTTCTCTTTCAAGGTGAACTCCTACATCCCCAAGGGCTTTCCCATGTCCCAGCGCTCACTGCCAAAGTGCCCAAGGGTTGTTGGCCTCCACTTCCAAAAACCCAGGTGTTGGTGGGACGGTCACAGATCTCTAAGGTTTGTGAACTGGCCTGTGATGTTTACTTTAGCCGTACTTGTTTGTAGAGTGTTGCGTATACTCGAGCTTCTGGATTACACATTGAAAGTGGGAGAAGTAGAGGAAGCAAACCAGTAGCAGGACAAGGCCAGACATCCTGAATCTGTCATCTTCCTTAGTGGTGGGACTGCACAGATAGTTATGGTAGAGACTGGCTTTCAAAGAAGGTAAGGAAAGAGGAAGCTGGAATGTAGCAAGTGTTACCATGGGCTAGGCATTGACTGAAGTACTCTGTTCATTTAATTTAATAAAGCAGCACATTTTCTTAGGACTGTGCTTGAAAGTCAACATTTCTAGAAAAAAGCATAAAGCCTCTTTTATCCAACTCCCATTTCTCCGAGAGTTCCTGCTGTTGGCCCTTAAAGACCTCCTCCTTCTCCTTCCCTTCTCCTCCCCTTCCTTTTTTGTTTGTTTAAACAATTTTAAGGACTGAATTGTATATCTGATTTTTTTTTAAGTTCCAAGCAAAAATAAGGTTTCTAATGGTCATTACTCTAAGGGAAAAATATGACAGTGACGTCATAGAGGTTTTGACAACTGATTTTTTGGGGGTAATGAAATAGTTTGTAGCTACAAAATAAAGTAATGACAATGACATTATTTTACTTTTGAAGGACATAAGCAGGCAAACACATTCAGAGATTGGATGCTTTTAGACTGTAGCGTGGGATTATTCATTCTTTATTTTGCTTCGTTACTCACTCTGCATTTGATGGGACAAGCTCAAGCATAAAGATTTAGATGTTAGAATGGGCATTCTCCCTAGGGGTCTCTCTGCTGGGGGCTGATCATCATGGCTCTGGAGCTGTCTGATAACCTAGTCATATCCACAATTTTTTTTTTTTTTGAGAACCCAAGGTCTGGGGAGTCCAAGCTTGTCAGGCGCATGCTCAGCTGAGCTCCCTGCAGAAACCACTGAACTCTGTGCAGGCCGTGGGTGGCAAAGCACTTGTGTGTGCCCACCCTGCTGTTCAGCTTGGAGCCACCACTGGTTTCAATTATGACTTCAACAGGCAGCTTTGAGGGCTCCTCTATTCACTACAGTGCCTCACACTCTATAATTAGTAATAAAGGGACACAGGCACTTCACAAATATAAAGGGCTAAACAATAATCAGGCAGCAAAGGCAATGCATCGGGACTTATTCACCTCTGTGTTTCTTTCAAGTTAAACAAAACAAAACAAAAACCTTCTTGTTGCTTCATTTTATTTTCTTGACTTGAATAATCTGGGTTTGAACCTCATTCTGGCCATTGACTAGCTGTGTGACTTTGGGCATTTTACCTACCCTTGCTGTGCCCTAGTTTCCTCATTTGTAAATCTCATGGGGGGAAGTTTGAGGCTTAAATGAGATAATTCCTGCGGAGGGCTTTGTGAGGATGTTGGCTCATATTAAAGCTTGCTCAGTAAATGTTAGCCTTCATTATTATCATTTTAATTTCAAATGAAATGAATGGAGTATAAGACATAGACATAGGTCTTTTGAGTGTCTTTTAAAAACCTTCCATAGCAAACATTAAGTTCACACAGACACACAAATAGGTGGGTATAATTAACCTCCTACCTCCACAGGTACCCATGCCAGCATTGACAAGGATCAATATTTTATCAGTCTTGCTTCATATAGCCCCTTGTTTTCTCCTAGAAAATTTTAAAGCAAATCCCAAGTACGTCATTTCACCCATACATTTGAGCGTATTTTTACTATTAACATCCTAATATGCTAAGAGCTCCTTGAGACTATGTCTCCTTAACCTCGAACCCCAGCTCTTAGGGGAGTTACTGCAGTTAGTAAAAACTCAACAGACGTTTGATTGGTGAATGAACAGCCCAAACAGCTCCCTCTACTTTTTGTAGATGCTCCATAAATATCCGTTGAGTGAATAAATGAGAACAAAAATTTTTATAGAGTGCCTGATGTAAATGGAAATGCACATGATTTCCAAAATAAAGTATTTTTAATACTCAGATGAGGCTTTCCAATACTTGAAAGTTTAATATTGCTGTGAATATTAATAATGCCCAAATAATTAGCACTTGAAAGAAGGTTTAATTCTGGCACTCAGATTATTTGTGAATGTCTAACTGTAGGCAGCTTCATGGAAAGCAATTAGCAGATTCTTCAAACACATGACAAATCCTTTATTACTGTGCTTATAAGTGACACGGTTCGGTTTACAGAAAACCAAAAGTAATTAAATAACATTGAACTTGGAATCTACCACAGACGCAAGATATACAAGGTATACTTGGCAAGGCAAAAATTCTCAAACACTAGGTTGTTTCAGGTGAAAGATAAATTTCCATTTTAAGTAATTCCCACATTTTTTTTTTGTCTTACAGACAGTTCCTTTGGCAATAACTTCCACTTTAGCTTTTATTATATAAAAATATAACAAAATTTCATTATATACAAACATTACATTACACAATGTACAGGTTAAAAACACTAAGAAAATGGCAAGCTGCAAGTGAAATTAAAGTCAATAGCATGATAAAAATTAAATACTGCACACATTTCATAAAAATTACATTAACTACATTTTTGTTTGCAAATACCAAACAGTACCAATGTGATTGGAAATAGCTTCCAACAGCTTCATTTTAAGGCACATCTTGCATATTTATATGTACAACACTGAAACCAGTCAATAACTTAGGGGCTTCTCGGAGTGACCTGTATATGTTGTGAACACATGCAGCGTGGGATTACACATTTTCATTGGCTTCCTTCTTTGGGGACAGGTACCTGCCAGGGGGGGACTGATAGAGGGGTACCCCGATCTCCTGCAAGTCTGGGAGCCTCCCCGGACGGGGAGGGGAGAGCAGAGTGACTGTCCTGTCATAGTCCCTATGCAGCACTTTCTCATAGACGCTCTGCAGCCCCACCGTCTTGGGCAGCTGGGCCTGGTAGTAATGGTCCCTGCGCAGAGGATCCCGAGGCAGGGACGTGCTCTTACAGAATGTAGACATCTGGGCTGGCGGGTGAGGTGGGGGATGCGTGTTGGGCCCCCCGCATGACGGGCTCCAGCAGCGGTCAGAGTGGCCCAGGATCTTACACTCGGCGGTACACGCCCACAGTCCTAGCATAAAAGAGAAAGGGAGAGAGCCTGGTGATTATTACCGAGATGGCACACAGCTACGCCTCCCTCTTCAGAACGTCAGGCAGGGTCAGGGCGGGGCTGAAAAGAAAAGCAAGCAGGATGAGGGTGAACGCGGGATTCAGGATTTGAAACACCGCTTCCTACGCTTCCTATAAAGCCACCTTCGTGTGAAGTCGGCTCAGCTTCTTTTGCCGGAAGCAAGTGAAAACCCCGAGGGGCAGAACTGTCCTCCTCAGGTAGCTAGAGCATCACCCCTGCCTGCACCTTAGCAGGATGGGAGCGTTCTTTATTCAAGTGGTGGAGCTGCCTCGATGTGGCATTTTGAAATCAGCCGAGCTCGGGGACTGGAAAAAGTGGGGTGGTGGGTGGGGGTGGGGGTGTTGGCTGGGAACGGAGATGGACAGGAGGGCGGCAAGGGAGGGAGAGGAGGAGAGCTGAACTTGGCAGGGGAGAAGAGCCCTCACCGCTCTGCATGTGGTTGATGAGATCCTTTTTCAGAGCGTCCCCGCTGATGTCGGAATCGCTGTCGTTGAAGTCGCTGTCCCCTTTACCGCTGTCTTTGCCGCTGAACTTCTCCGCTTCCCGGCCCGAGATGGTGTTGAAAGAGTGTCCTTTCCAGACCGCCACAGGGGGCGCCGGCTCCTTTCCGAAGCCCGGGGAGGCACCGTAGGGCTGCAGCAAGGGATGGGGGATGCGGAGCGGGAGGGGGAGAGGAGGGGAGGTGGGGTTGGACAAGAAACAAACAAAACAGGTGCGACAGGTTAGGCATCTCCGGCGCGGGCACACCCAGGCCCCTCCCCCAGCCTGTCCCGTCCCCCAGCCTGTCCGCGCAGCACGGAGGGGGGCGCCCGGCCGAAGGAAGGCCTCACCTCGGCGTGCGCGCCGCGGAGCCGCTGCTGCCCCTCGAAGTGACAGGAGCTTTCCCCGGTGGCGCTGCCGCCCTCCGAGCCCGGCACTTCGGCCGCGGCGACCGCGGGCGGGGGCGGGTCGGCCGCGGGGCTGCCAAAGGGCGCTTTGCCGCTGCCAGGGAAGGTGAGCACGTCGAACATGTTGGGCCTGGGCCCGGCTCCCCGGGCAGCCTCCTCCGGGGAGCCGGGAGCCGAGGCTCCGCCGCCCGCCGCCCCGGGCCGCTCTTCCCGGCGGGCCCCCCCTTTGCGCACCTCCTTCTTGCGGCGGTTGCAGGTGGTGGCGATGGCGATGATGGCGGCCAGCAGCAGCGTGCAGCTCCCGGCCAGCACGATGATGACGATCAGCGGCGTGTCCCACTGCAGCGCCGGCCCCGACGCCGCGAGCCGCGAGCCGGGCGGGCGAGATCGCTCGGGGCCCCCCGCGCTGGCGGGCGCCACCAGCCCGCGCCCGCCGCCCGCGGTCACCACGAAGCTGACGGTGGCGGTGGTGGAGAGCGGGGGGCGGCCGCCGTCGGACACGACCAGCAGCGCCCGGAACGCGCGGCCCGGCGGCTCCTGCGAGAGGTCGCCGGTGAGCACGATCTCCCCCGTGCGGCGGCCGATGGCGAAGGCTTCTCGCGGCTCCTGCTGCAGCAGCTCGAACGCCAGCTCCCCGTTGGCCCCGTCGTCCGCGTCCCGAGCCTGCACGCGCGCCACGGCCGTGTCCCTTGCCGTGCGCCCGGGGACCGCCACTTCCAGGGTCCCGTTGGCCGGCGCCGGGTGCACCAGGACCGGTGCGTGGTCGTTCTGGTCCAGCACCCGCACTTGCACCAGGGCGCTGCTGGAGAGCTGCGGGGAGCCTCCGTCGCTCGCCTGGATGCGCACGTCGAGCTGGCGCAGCGTCTCGTAGTCGAAGCTGCGCAGCGCGTAGATGGCCCCGGTGGCCGGGTCCACCGACACGTAGGTGGACACCGAGCCCCCGGCACGGCCCACTTCCGCCTCCAGCAGCCGGTAGGTAACCTGGCCGTTGCGGCCCAGGTCCGGGTCCCGCGCGGCCACCGTGGCCAGGTAGGCGCCGGGCGGGTTGTTCTCACGCACCGACACCTCGTAGACTGGCCGCGTGAAGAGCGGCGCGTTGTCGTTCTCGTCGCTCACGCGCACGGTGTAGGGCCGCACGGTGCGTAGCGGGGGCGCGCCGCGGTCCTCGGCCACCAGCGTCAGGTTGTACTCGGCGATGCGCTCGCGGTCCAGCGACGCCGCGGTCACCACCAGGTAGCTGCCCGCGTAGGCCGGCTGCAGCCGGAAGTGCTCGTGCCCGTAGAGGGCGCAGCGCACCTGCCCGTTGGCGCCCGAGTCCCTGTCCGAGGTGCTGACCAGCGCCACCAGGCTCTCGCGCGCCGCCCCCTCCGGCACCAGGGAGACGGCGCCCGCCTCCGGCGTCCCGGGCCCGGTGGGCGAGGTCGCGTCCGCACCCCCGAGAGCGGCGGCGGCGGCGGCCGCGGCGAAGGGAGAGGCGGCGGGTGCGCCCGGGGCGGCCAGCGGGGTGATGGCGATGTCCGGAGCGTTGTCGTTGACGTCGCGGATGCGCACGATGACCTTGCAGGTGGAGGCCCGGGGCCCGGGGCCGCGGTCCTGGGCGCGCACGTCCAGCTCGTAGGTGTCCTGGCGCTCGTAGTCCACGGGTCCTGCCAGGGTGAGGCGGCCCGAGCGCGGGTCCAGGCGGAAGAGGCGGCGCGCCTCGGGCGGGGTGCGGGCCCCGAAGGCGAACACCACGTCGCCGTTGGGGCCCTCGTCGGGGTCCGCCGCGTCCAGGTCGAGCAGCAGCGAGCCCACGGGCGCGTCCTCCGCCAGCTCCACTTCGGCCACCGCGCCCTGCGGGAAGGCCGGGCTGTGGTCGTTGGCGTCCAGCACTCGCACGCTGAGGGCGGCCGTGGCGGAGCGCGGCGGGCGGCCGCCGTCCTGGGCCACCAGCTCCAGGCTGTAGGCGGCCTGGCTCTCGCGGTCCAGCTCCTGCAGCAGCACCAGGTCCGCGCACTGGGCGCCGTCCGCGCGCGTCTGCAGTTCCACGCGGAAGGGGCTGTGAGGCTCGGCCAGGCGCACGCTCTGCAGTCCGTTGGCCCCCACGTCCTCGTCCACCGGCACCTCCAGGGGGATGCGCGTGCCCACGGCCGCGCCCTCGGACACCTCCACGGGGATCTGGGCCCGGGGGAAGCGCGGCGCGTGGTCGTTGATGTCCCTCACCTCCACCTCCACGTGCACCAGCCGGAACTGCTCCTGGGAGAAGCTGACCACGTCGAAGGCCAGCACGCACTGTGGCGCTTGGCCGCACAGCCGCTCGCGGTCCAGGCCCGCGTCCCCGACGGTCAGCTGCCCGTCGCCCTCGCGCACCCGGAGCAGCGAGCTGTTGAACTGCTTCATCAGGCGGAAGCTGGTGTCTCCGGACACTTTCATATGCAGGTCCTCGGCCAGGGTCCCGATGACCGTGCCGGGGGCGTCCTCCTCGAAGGTGCTGTATCGCACTGTCTTGCTCTGGGCCACCGAGAGCACCCAGCAGAGGCTGAAGAGCTGTAAAGGGAGAAGGCAGGGGCTGCCCCCGCGCCCCGCTGGACCCATGCCGCCAGCCCCGAGCGCTGGTCCAAGAGGCTGAGCGATGATTCCTCCCTGGTTCGCGGGTCCCGGGGTGAGTCGCAGGCTCCTAGGAGCACGCTCTCGGCGAGCCCCGTGCGGGAGGTCTGCGGGCTGCAGCGCGAGGTCCCGGCGGGCTCTGGGGACGCGCGGACCCGCCCCCGCTGCACACCGCTGCCTGCCCTCCCGCGGCTGGAGCTGCGCCGCCGCGCGCCGCCTCCGCTTTTATAGCAGCCGATATGCAAATCGCCAGAGCCGGGCAGCCAATGGCAGCTTCGCGCTCGCGCCGCTCCTACGCCAGCCTCTGACAATCCCTTTAATGTGGAAAGGCTTAGAGGGGAAAACACGAAAGGAAAATTAGGGAATCTTTTCTTTGTTTCTTTAACTCCTTTCGCCTTTTTTTTTTTTTAAATTTCCTCCTTTCCTGTCAACGCCCTGAATACAGAGGAGTTGGCACAGGTCGCCCAGAGTCAAAGGAGTGGATGCTTTTGTTAATTGTGTCCGTCCGGAGCCCACTTTTCCAGCTGAGAGCAAACACGCTGGGGTTTCGCCCCAATAGCTCGGGACCACCCCCCCACACACCCCGCCCACTTTTTTTTTTTTTTTTTTTTTTTTTTGCCTTTTGTACCTTCGAAGTTTACGATCCTCGGCTTTTTCTCCACCGACTTGCTCAGCCCAGTGAGGTCTTCCTATACAGCCTTCTCTCCCAGCTTCCCAAGGCGCTCGGCAGTACCGTGTCGATTTAGGAAATCCCAAAGACGAGGGGAAATTGATTTTATTCAAAATTGTGATTTGCTCGTGTGAGCCTCGGCGATCAGGGCTGCCACTTGCCTTTCAGAAAAGAGCTCTGCGATGTGTTAGTATGCATGTCACTGTCCAAATGGCTTTCTTAAGCCCTGGGCCGCTAGCAGGCCAGGGGAAAAAAAAAAAGGTTCCAAATAGGATTTAGCATAAGCTTGAGGAGATTTGGAAAGATTTCAAAGATCAGACTGTATCAAAGGCTTATGAAGCCCTCGTTAGCAGTGGAAATAGAATGGCATGGCAGGCGATCCCATTGGAGGCCCCAATGTCTGTATTATTTCACTGTGACAAGCTAAGGGGAGAGAAAGTTGAACAGTTTCCACAGCGGAGTTGGGCTAACTTGAATATAATGAGCAAACGCCACATGTATCCATTATGTTCCTCTATTCATCCCCAATCACTGCCATAACTCTCCGGCTAAACGGTGATGGGCGCTGAATTCCACACAATACCCGGCTCGTATTAAAGTGCATTTAGAGAACTTTCCCTCCTGATGCCTGGTTCCGCTTATTTAGAGGATTTTCTTTCTGTCCTAATAGGGCTGCTCCGAGAAGCAACACTCATCCCGTTCCAGAAGAACAAAATCACAGCATGACGTTGAAACCTGGCACGAACCTGGGGGAACTTAACCATCTGCCTGCAAACGTGTGGAGCTTCGGTATTGCCAAACTCTGGGCTGGGCGGATCCCGCCCCGGCCCCCCCCTCCCGGCCAGGCTGGGCGAGGCCCCCCCACAGGTAGTCCTCCCCCCCCCCTCAGAATCCGAGAAGACCCGGGAGTTGGAGCTCCAAGCAGGGACAAGACGACTTCTTATTGAAGAGCTTTATGGAGCAGGTTATGCAAATACACACGGAGGAGGGGTAAAAACAAAAGCCACGCACTGGAAGAATTTTTTTTTTAAAAGGCGATGGATTTGATAAGCAGACTGCATTTAGGGAGCGTTCTTCCGAATCCAGATTTTAGTCCTACTGTCAGCATCCATCTGTGTTTTCCTTTTGCTCAAACCCGAGGGAATGCATCCTGAGGTCTTTTCAGAACACCTTCGGGAGGTTTTCCCGCCCCCTACTTCCTCCCGAAGTAGGGAGACCACGCAGGGGAGGCGGGGTGAGGGGTGCAGCGGGGGTGGGGGAGAATGAAGTAGGAGCCCTGGAATTGCCAAAGGGGGGAAAATGCAGCCCCAGCGATCAATAAATAAGAGCTCTTCTGAGATTGGGAAGAGGGCGGGGCTGTGGGTAGCTGGGGGCTTCCCTAGCGCGTGGGTGACCCTGGGTTCCTTTCCCCCTCCTCCACCTTGCTGCCCTGGTATTGCTAAAAGCAGCGAAGCCAGGTACTGCAGCGGCGCAGGCACTAGGGAAAGGCGACGCCCCCTGCAGGAGCCCGATTCCCAGCCTTCTCTTCCCCTTTCCCCCCCACCCCGCCCAGCTGCCAATTAAGAGCTTGCTCTCCCTGTGCTGCAGCAGAGGGACCTTCCTCAGGGGTATGCACAGCCGAGAGAACTTTCTGTCTTCTGTCCGCGCCTCGCAGCACTCCCACCCCAGCCTGGGGCCTGCAGGTGACCTTTAGCGCTCTTAGGGTCCCGGCCTCCCCCTCATTATGCCCTTCCCGGGGCAGCCGGGACGCGGACAGATTCAGAACCCGGCGGTCGGACAGCGGCCTCCCCGCGGCCGCGGCTGTAACCCCGGGAGGTCAGCGCAGCGCGGAGCCGAGGACGTGGGGAGCGAGCTGGGGAGGGTGGGGGCAGCGGGACCGGAGTCGCAGAGAAAAGGATGCTTTGAGCTGTTCCCGGGAGTAGACAGCTGGCTAGAGCACGGGCGCAAGTGGCTGGAAGCCGGGCCCCAGCCTGCGCCCCCTGCGCCCCCTGCGCCCCCGCGCCCCTCCGTTCTGGGCTGGACCCCAAAGGACCCCAGCCGCGCGCTGTTTAAATTTATTTTTGCTCGGCTGGAGAATCAGAACTACCTGATATTTCTACTCCAAGCGCTTCGCGGCATCACGCTCCTGAAATCCGCGAAGGCGTGCTGGGGCGGGGGAGTGGGGGAGCGGGCGCCAGCCAAGCTGGAGGAGGGGTGTCGGGGTGGAGGGGGGCGGCCTCAGTGGGCCGTGCAAAGCGTTCTGTCCCGGGCGGGGAGACTCGGCCGCTCGGAAGGGACCCGGGCCGCGGCGGCGCAGAGCCCGGGGCTGAGCCGCAGGAGCAGAGCAGCGGGCACGGCCTCCCGAGCCGGCTGCAGAGGTGTGAAGGCACGCGAGCAGAAGGAGCTCCGGGCCTCGCCGCCTGCGGCCTCCAGATTATGGAAATAGGATTTAAAATAGCGCATCAGCGCCTACAGCATCTCCCGGGGGATGCAAAGTGTCCGGGGAGGTGGGGTCGGTGGGGATGGGGGAGGTGGGGGGGGCGGTGGAGGGGAGGGAGGGAGGGGGACTCGCCCTCCCCCAGCGCTGATCCAGCCCCTACAAAAGCAGCTCAGATCGACTTGTTATCATACCAAAGGCCCGGGGCTGGCTCAAAGGAGCCCCTTTCTCTAAGGTTTTAGCAACTTCGCCCGCAACTGTCTTGCAATCCTGAGAACAAACACAGGCCCACAATGGCTGGCGTTTTCTCGGAATGCAAATGCTGCGGGCTCCGCAAAGCTGGGTTTCTGGGCCCGAGCCTAATGCCTGCTTTGTGAAACTCGCGTGCAGACTCCGAGATTGGCACGGGCGTCACGTGACGGATTAGGGCAGCAGGAAAAGTTTTCAAAGCGGCGACAATGGGGGGCTCAGGCGGATCTGATAGCTCCCACAGTTTAGCGGGAAAGAGAATCAGGATATATTCTCATACGTAATAGGATTATCTTTTCCATTTAAAGTTCCATACAGCATGTAATTTATTTTTAATTAGGATTATATCTATCAGGAAGGGGAACTAGACTTCGCTAGAAAGTGTAATTCTAAGGATGGGTGCGGAGAGGGGTTATTTTTTTTTGACCTTTTAACTATTTAAAAAATATTATAAGCCCAGGGCCCATCTCCCCCCCCCCCCCCACTTCAACAGGCTCACTGCATCGGATAAACCTTCTTCCAGGGAGGTTTGCAGCAAGGGCTCCTCCAAGCAGAGAACACAGGCAGCACTTCAGAGGCATCCAATTCATCCTTGTAACGAAAGCATACTTTGTAGAAATCTCAGAATTCCTAAGTCGCTGGGTTTTGCTGGGATTTGCTCTCTAGAAATGCAGCCAAACTCTTTTCTACACTCCAAATGCTAACTTGATAATTTAAAAAAAATGCATCTCTCTCTCTCTGTTATATTGGGCTGTCAGTACTGGCATTGAGACTTTTAAACTTTGGTACCCACAGAACAGCATCCTCCATAGCCCTGATTCAAACTCAGCAGGCAGCCAGTGAGGCAGTTTGGGGGTGAAGGTAAATGTTGTTTAAACATTGATTTTTGGATTGATCCCAGTACCAGATGCTCACAAACCCTGGACCAGGTCCAGGTCTTGGGTTCCTCATTTTTGTGCGTGTTCTGTGTGTCAGGATGCTTTGGAATTCCACCCTCACCTGATAAGAAACAAAACTTGGCTCTTGGCTACAGGCTCTGGATCATGCTGCTTGGGTTCAAATCTTTGACCATTGAATTGCTGTGCGACCCTGGGCAAATTACTTGATCTCTCTGTAAAGGGGGCTATTAATAATAATACCTTGTAAAGTTGACTTGTGTAAGGTAATACAGTGTCAGGTGCTTAGGAAGCCCTGAGCTCATGTTAATTCATTTCCTTTTAAAGCACAAGGAAGAGACATCAGAGGCCATGTCATCTAAACCTTTTAGTTCTCAGGTGACGTATTTAATCAGAAAGACAAAACAAAACAAAACAGCAAGCCTCCGGTTTCCTTTTTGCTTCTTTGCTTTCATTACAACTATCCTACTTACCCCTTTTTTCTTCCCACCCTTCGGGAAACAATTAGATATAGTTGTAGGTTTATGGGTTCACAAGGGAAGGAAAAAAAATGGTCATGTGAGAGTTCAAGTAACTTTTCTGCTCTCATGTCATTTCAAAATCTTTTGGTACCTTACTCTCTGGTTGAGATCAGATGATGGCAAAAAGCCGTTCCCAGTAGACTTTTTCACCACCCATTTCCGTAAAAGCCACGTATCATGACTGAAACCACCTACAAGACAAATATTTAGTAGACAGCAACTTGTTATTCTGGGGGAGAGAGAACATTCCAGAAGACTTTCACTCTTAGGATGCTCAGGAGTACCAGGCGATTTTCTGTGACTTACACGGAGCCAGTGTGTGACTCTGTGCTTCTCTTCAACTTTAGTCTATTAGGGCTGCCACAAACTGCCTGGTTTACAACAGAAATTTATATTCTCACAGTTCTGGAGACTGGAAGTCCAACATCAAGGTGTCGGCAGGGTCCTTCTGAGGGCCGTGAGGGAGAATCTGTTCTATGCTTCTCTCCTCACTTTATTTAAAAGAAAAGAAAAGGAGGAGGAGGAGGAGGAGGGGAAGGAGAAGGAGAAAGGAGAAGAAGAAGAAGGAGAAGAAATCAGTGACTCTGCTTTGCCAGTCCTGAGGCAGGAAAACTAGAAGAGAAAGGACACCACAATCAGGTGTGAGGATTGCTGTGATAAAGGCCTACCCAGCAGCCCATCCCAGGTGGGTGCCCACAGTCTTTATGGGAGTGGAATATCTGAACACACGTCACATGTCAAGAGCAGTGGTGCCGGTATGCGTTGCATGCCTTCGTGAACCCAGAGGAAGGGGGCCCAATTGTGCTAAGGAGTAGAGATGCTCAGGGAAATTTTCCTGCAGGAGGTAACATTTGAGCTGAATTTTGAAGGATGAGCAGACATTACCTAGGGGTAGAGAGAGAGGAAGGTGTGGAGAGAACAGGGCATTCCCTCTTGAAGGAACAGCTCAATGGCATGAATATCCTAGGCCTGGAGGAGGGACCTTGGGATGAAGAAAGCCAGAGTGAGCAGGCTGGTGCTTCATACACCACGTTGAGGAATTCCAGTTCTATCCTTGGGCAATGGGGTTGAAGGAGGTCATTCTGAAATCACAGGTTCACCAGGGTAAACAGAGGGCGGAAGAGGGGCAGGGCAGAGAAGTGAACAAAGCCTAAACAGGTAGACTCTATTCTAGGAGGAAGGTGAAGGGCGACTGTCTGAAGTGACTGGTTTGGGAACAGTGACTAGCTAGTTAGTGGCCTAGCTGAATCCCAAGAGACTCAAGTTGGAGAGGCGTACACTGAGATGACACTTGCTGTCTGTGGGCCCAGCCAGAGGATTCATCCTCTGGAGAATGCAGGTCCTCTTGGGAACTTCCTCTTGGATGTCTGGTTCCAAGGAGAGTTCAAGCAGACAGTAGGGTTTTCTTTTTGCTCAGAAAGCTGAGGCTTCTCTGGTTTCAGCCAGGAGCAGGTCCAGAGTCCCCACAGTATATCTTCTGTTGGGTATCTGTTCAAGACAAATAGTGGGGCGGGGGGGGGGGGGCAGGGGTGGAGGTGAGGGCAGTGAGGAGCTGTGTGTTCCAAAGCTGCCCGTAGCCTGGGGTTGTGGACAGAGAGCCAATGTTCCCCTTATCATCCAAGGATTTAGTGTGTGTGGAGGGGGGAATGGTGGGGGCGATTAAGGATTTCCCTGAAGTGTTTTGTTTGAAAAGTATAGGATATAGGATGTAGCCTGGGCTCCTGGACCTCGCTTATGGTTCCTAGGCACTCTGAGGCAAAATTAGAACCAAATTACACAGTTCATGGTGGAAGAAGAGAGGTTGTAGGTAACCAAAGGAGCCCTCAGTGAGGATTCAAAGAGCCACAAATCTCTGCTCAAACCATGCTCAGGAGTTCTGTAGTTAAATAAATTGGATAGATTAATTGCTTTCAGAGCCTAAAACATGCTGTTGCAAATTTGGGGTTTTGTTATTAATAAATCCCACGTGATTCAAAAGAAATTAAAGCAAGAAGCTAGAGTCTTTTCAAGGGGAAGAGAATTTTAATCATTGGTTGTTTTTTTTTTTTGTTTTTTTTTTTTTGCCCCTTTCCTCAAAGTTATTGTTCTGTAAGTGCTGAAGACTTCTGACTCAGGTTTTCCTTTGGATCTGATGGCTTGAACTCGCCTTCTCCAAGTGGGTCACAATCCACTTTTGAAATGGAAATGAAGTCTGCATGGCAGGCTCACCCTTGGAGCCCTGGGACCCGGGCCCAGCCAGGGCACAGCAGAGCCTGGTGTTATAAATTTCTCCGTAGATCTGAGAGCAGTTTTAGGCCATTGATCTCATGTCATCCAGAATCGAGATGGAGTGACGGCTGATAAACTGCACGGTGACAGGCTGCGGCCTTGGAAGAAAAAAGTCTAGATGCAGGATAAAAAAAAAAAAAAAAAAAAAAAAGGAGCTGATGGATTAGTTATCAGCCTCCCGATTCTCCTCACCCTGGATTATTTCCGAACACTTTGGAGGCATTTATTTTCAGGTAATTTTACAGTTGTCTTTTTGTCCTTCAGAGGTGCTTTGGTCTATGAAACCACTCAGGGAATTTAGATGAAATCATTTTTATATGGATTGCTCGACAGCCCCCTGGAAGTCCCCGAAGCCCTGCTCTTAGGCCCAAACCCTTTAGGAGGCTTTTACCTGCAGTGCAGGGAACTGTGGATGCAAATAACAATCAGTATTAATGCTAATTCACGATTCTTCAGCAGCACAATCCAGCCTACTGTTCTCAAGGTGCTACTTGCTGTAATAAGAGCCAAATGAGGAAGGAAGCACATGGGTGGGGGTGGGAATAGCAGGGGGAAATGCTCCGTGGTCAATATTTAAATGGATATTTTCCCTCCGAACTTTTCTGATCCTCTCCTGGCTCCAGCGCCTCTGTCCAAAGGGCAGCGTGAATCACATGTTATTCCAGGAAGGCCTGGGCACTTCGGAAAGATTTTGAGTAGGTAAGGTGAGAGGGCCAAGGAGATTAGGGGAGTGTGGTGGATCATTTGTGTTCAGGGATGAATAAAGGTTGAATTCTTGCTGCCCTGGCTCCAAGCTCCCGCTTTGGTGTCCAGTGTGGGAACCCGAGATGGCGAAGAATGGGCTGCTCCATGCATTGAACGGAGAGCCCTCTCGGGCATGGCAGGCCATTTGTAGGGCATCAATCTTGCTTTGCTTTGCCTGGGGAGCCTTGTATAGAGGCCCATGGTCTCAGGGGACTGAGAAGAAGGTTAGATGGAGGGATCAGAGCCCCCACAGGGAAAAATAATGTGACAAGCTGTCAGAACATGGCGACTGGGTGACTCCTGTTCCCTCAGTGGCCAGGGGGCCCTGCCAGCCTTGCATCCTTCAGGGCCAGGAGCTGGGAGGAGGGAACAATACAGGATGTATGGTGGATTACACACCTTTCCATCAAACCTCAGTGGAGGCTTTCACTGGACTTCTGGAAAAGGAGGAGTGGAGTGGCTTTTAGCAGGAGTGGACTGTTGTGAGTAGACTATTTTGGAGGGAGACTCTCCAGATGGCTTCCATATGGGAGCCATGGACTCTCTGGGAATTAGGAAGGCTGCTCTTGGAGGTCATCTGTGGAGGTAGGCCTCCAGGAAGAAATTCAGGGGTGATAGCAAAGTATACCTTATCAAAATCTGGGATAGGAGTTCCTTTACTTAGGATAATTGTGTCAGTCAGGATGGGCCGGGTTATGCCTCAGTAACACACAACCCTCAAATCTTAGTAACTTAAAACAGCAAATGTGTTTCTTGCTTGCTCTGCCTGTGTCCATCATATGTAGGCAGGGGGGATGTGCTGTATGCTGTCCTCACTTGGGGACCTAGATAAAGGAGCCACCATCTAGAACTTTCTCCTTGTCTCCGAAGGAAGAGGGAATGTAGCAAATTACTCATTGGCTCTTAAAAGTTTCCACCCACATAGGACAGACTTCATTTCTGCTTACATTTCTTTGTCCATTTCAAAGTCCTAGTAATGTAGTGCAAAGCTCCTTCTACTTCATCATTAGAAGGCAGGCTTGAGGGAACAAAGCTGGACAAAATCCTTAGGCTGAGTGCCAGGGCATGTGCTCTGGGCTTGCCTCCCCTTCTCAGGTCTCGGATAAATTATTACTTTTTTTTTCTTTGCAGCAGGAAAATAGCAGTTGGGAGAAATGCTGGTCAAAGGCATATGTGCCTCTAAATTCAAGGAAGGTCAGAAATAAATTAGAAGTGTCCTCATGTGACACATTCCTTAAAGTATAGGCTAAATTACAGCTTCAGACTAATTAGTGAGGAAATCCCCCAAGAGTGAAAGATTGAGTATTGGTAATGGGATTACATGTCCTCTCACTTGTGCTTGGGGGAAAACTTGCATAAAGTATCTTCATTAATCACAGTCCTAATGGCTTTTACTTTTACCATCATCAACCAACTACCAGGATCAAAAACATTTTACTAAGCAACTTTCAGAGTGTGGAACTATGCACTGCTTTACAATGGAGTTAAACTCTCTCTCTGTCTTTTAGGAGTTTTTTAAAAAAACTTTTTAAAAAATTTATATTTATTTATTTGAGAGAGAGTGAGAGAGCACAAGTGAGGAGGGGAAGGGGGAAGCAGGCTCTTCAGGAGCAGGGAGCCCCACATGGGGCTCCATCCCAGGACCCCGGGATCATGACTCAAGCCGAAGGCAGATCCAACTGCACCATCCAGGGGCCCTTTAGGACTTTATAATCACGTGGATGGAAGTACTAAGGGCAGCTAAACAAATACTGAGAACAACATGAATATGAATATTGACATCTGGGGAGCCTGGAGAAGAAATTTTTTTTTGCAGGGTAATCAAGGGAGAAGGGATCATGAACAGTATTTAGGAAGAACTGAACCAGGACAATTGAGTTCATCAGTGTGTGTGTTGTCTACAGTGCTAGGCATCGGGGTAAACACTAGGACTCCCTAGGACATTTTGGTCACCGGGGAAGGCACGACACCATCACACAACTTCAGTGTACTGTGGATAATGATAAACAGTGATACACTTAGTGATAAATTCCCGGGAGAGAAGATCAGCTTTGGAGAGCTCACTTAAGAAGGGGGCAGATGGCTCGGCAAACTCCTTGTGAGAAGGAGGGGGGGGCTATTTTAGGCCAAGCCTTGGACTTGGGAGTAAACGTAGGGCAGGGATAATTGCCACTGTGTACTTCCAAGGCTCTATTTATAACCATCAATATCCAAAAGACTTGGAGACTAGAATATCTCCCATTAGAGATGAAATATAATATAATATTTACTTTTTTTTGAAGTTGGCAAGGTATAAATAACACATACAATAATGTAATATTTTAATAAATAATTTAGAAAGCTTGAGGAGACACAAGATACCATGCAGGTATCCTCAACAGCCAAATCTGTTGAATGAAGTGGATGATTCTTAACCTTCACCTGTCTCAGAGTTGAGGGAAGGGTTCCTTGATACAAAGGGTGCAGAGGAGCTCTTTGGGAGCTATAAAGCAGTGAGCACAGTAAGTCTTAGGGCTGATGGGCATGCTTGCACTAAAGGGACACCAAGCCATTTTGTGACAAGCGTAGAGGGCGGGAGATAAGGAAGGAGGGAGAGCAGCTTGCAGCAACTGCTGAAGCGCAAGAACAGGACTAGATCTGAAGTCCATGGAAAGTTTTCAGTACCTGTAATCCCAGAGGTGGGGGCCATGGTAAAGGGAAGAAGGGTATACGTCTGCTCAGCTGGGGTGGGAGAGGTGGCTGGAGGCTGGACATGAGTCAGAGAGGAGGTTGTTTAGTGCTTTATCCTCAGTGCCTGGCGTAAAGCACTCCCCAATAAATATGTGTTGGAATGAATGAATGAATGAAATAGTATCTCTTTCAATTGTATCAGGGACATGATATTGATCTCTATGTCTGCACATATACAGGAGGCTCCTGGTTAATTTTAGTAAGTATGAGTCTGAACAGGTGGTTGGGGCAGACTCAGTGTCCAAGATTTGGCTCAGCACAGACATTCTAAGGCCCATGGAGCCAAGGTAGGAGGGGTCCGCGCCTTGGTCAGCACTACTAGAAAGTCATGATGCCAGAGATGCGATGCCCCCCTTCCAGACCGTCCTGTCTGCTCCTGGTTCCATTCCTGGAAACCTTTGGCCCCTCTTCCCCAAGAGCCCTGAGACTGATCCCAGTTTCCTGAAGCAGGGTTGGCTTTCACCTCTGCTTGACTCTGGGCTTCTCAAGGCAGCATCAGCGCCTGGCCTTCGTGGACTCTTTCTTCTTCATCAGGGTCTTTAAGGCATCACCCTTTCCCTGTCTTCAGCTCTCCTGATGCCAGACCCAGCTCAGAGGTGATTCCAGTTCATTCACAGATAAGCTCATATTACATGTCATTGATCACAATTGCATTCACATGTTAAATTCTGCATCTAGGAGAAAGGGCCATGGTCCTAGGACACCTCTTGGGAAGTTTGTTACTTATCACGCATCCTTTTAATATGTCCCAGATGGCTCTCCTTATGTCCTGTCCTGCCCTTTAGGTATTTCCAAGGCTTGGAAGATAGCCCTTTGCTCAGAATAATAGCAGCAGTATTTCTAGTAATGATTAGCGGTGTTGAACGCTTGATTCTTGCCACACATTGTGTCAGGCAGTTCACTTAATTTAATTTTTTCAACAGCTCTGTAAAGTAGGTGTTATGACCATTTTTAAAGAAACTGAGGCTCAGAGAAATTAAATAGTGTCTGGCAGGGCTCCTGGCTGGTTACTGGCAAGGAAAAATTGACTTCTGACTTTTCAGGCTATGACTCCTACCCTACATCAGGTCTCTTCCACTGGGGCCTGGATGATTAAAATAGCTTCTGAAGTAAGCCTGCTGCTGGAACACATAGCACCTTTGTGTGCATTAGAAAAAGGCTCCCTTTTTCCTGGATGGATGCAGTCCTGTACCAGGGCACGTTGACTTGGCAAGCAGAGCACAGGATGGAATTCAGTTCCATGTGGCTACCTCAATCAGGAGAACTTATGCAGTGAACAGCCTGCACAACTGGGCGTGGTGACCCCAGAGGGGAGCCCTCTCCTTGCTGCTCATGTTCCTCCCCTTTCAAAACATTCTCATCCAGGATGATTAGGCATTGACTCTATTATTGCTGGATTGTAGGAAGTTGGGGAGGTTGCTGGCCAGGGGCTAAGGTGGCACCTGGGAGCTCAGAGCAGTGCATTTTTACCAAGCAGGGTGGCAGTATTTTAGTATTTTTACAAGTGGCACTGCTTTCCTGCTGTGTGTGAGCTGGGTATTAACTCAGTTTGTCCCACCCTCCACAGATCGAGATCCAGTTCCGTTGATCAATGGTGTCTGGATATTTCCCACTTAGCAATCATCAATTTCTATTGACAACAAGGATCTTAACAGAAATGATTGTTTCAGAATAGGCTTAAATTTAGGTGTGGTTACTATCAGAGCCCATTTTAGGCTATTTGCAGACTTGCCTCTGGGGCGCTCAAGATGTCCAGCTC